CATCTCTCCTTCTGTCAGTGATTGTAGTGACCGCCGTCGTGATCTCACCATCTAAACTTCATTTGGCTTTTAAAGTAGGTAAAATTGACAGGGTGTAGCGAGACACGCTCTCGCTACATGCACCACTACACGCAGCTAAGGGTTCCCAGTTGGCTTATCCATTAAGTTCCATTTACCTGGGTGGTGGACCATTCACTAGAAGTGCGCTTCTATAACAAAAAAACCCAGCAACACTGAGGCGAAGCCAGCTGTGCCGTGCATGGGACGGTGAGGCGAGACGGCGCTGCCAGACAAATAAGCTTTAAGTAATGACCTTCCTTTTCTCTCGGCCATTGCCACTGAATGTCTAACTAACAAGCTCATTGAAATGCACGACAGGAATCCTGGGAAACATGAGTCCCACCGGGAACAGGTGGCTTCCCCCGCCATTAAATTTCTGCTTGTTTTCAATAATGACATTAGCTGGGCTATTTTAACACCAGACCCGTTTTTAATTTAGTTCTGAATGGATGGGGTGATGATACGACGACATTCCTACACTTTTATTTCTGCAGTTCACTTTCACATTCAGAGGTTTTTCTAAGCTAGCGAGCAAGAAATGAAGGGAAACAGACTCTCGTGGCAAGTATGCAGCCATGTGAAAGTGTTTAATTACTAAGCTCCTGTGGGCGCGTGTGTGGGGCACTTTGACATACCACTGGGAGCATGCTGTCAACACAAAGGGGACTGTGGACAAACTTAAATGGATTACAAATACACACACACACACACGTATCCAAATGCTACTGTTCACTGATAGTTGTGGAATAGACAAAAATTCCTGTTGCAAGGCCGCAGTGAAGAGCCACCTGTGTACAAATATTACATATTCCCTTTAAGATGGAAAAGTCTTTGCACTGCAGATATGTAGTCTATGGTTTGTATACTGCACACCTGGGGACTTCCACTGTCAGGCTTTACAAGCAGTGGGGTATTCCCAGTCATCCAGGATAATGACTCAGTGTGTCTGTGCTGTAGGTGCAGCCCTTCATAATGCACCTCCTGCAAAATCTGTCTCCAGACCAAGGCAACAAAGACAGACACCTTTTCGACTTCACCCTTTATGTGTTAGAAAAGTCATCAACGCGTTCACTCACCCGCTGAGAATTTTCCACCTTTACGTATTTTCCTGCTGTATTCTCTGTCAGAACACTTTACGTGGGGGTTGGCAGGAAAAGTAAATTGACTGGAGCAACAGACTTTGACATACACATTCTCACCTACAGCTCCTCCAGAAAATTTCAGGAAGGTGTCAAGATTTCAGTGCACGTCCAAATGCAGCTTAATTTAGCTCTTCTTGTTACTGTCGTGTGAAGAACTCCATCCGATGTGCCTTCCTGTGGAGGACAACACTGATGCGTTTCATGTCAGGCTGTGACGTAAACAAGTTTAATACGGTTTATCATGTAAATCCTGAGCGTAAAGTATGGCCCATATTCAAATCCCCAGAAGTCCTCCAAAAAACATTAAGAGGCAGTTTAGTGATTTATAATCAGTCAGTTCAATGTGGAGACTCAAAGACAGACCATATCTCTTCAATTGTATCATACCGTGTGTGTGTGTGTGTGTGTGTGTGTGTGTGTGTTTCTAAAGGACAAATGGAGGCTGGGACACTTTGATTATGAGGGGGAGCGTTTGCAGCTGCTCTCTTCCTAACAGCATCTCCTCTGCTTCATTAGACATCTTCTTCTTCTGAGTTCAGGCCTCATGTTTGTTTCATCCGATCGGGAACATGAATCACAGCATTCTGAGGTTCATTCTCTTACTTCCTGCGTGCTGAGAACGAAAGCACTTATAAAGCAACAAAATCCTCTCCGGGGACAGCGGAGAGGAGTGGAGGAGGAGGCAAACAGAGCGATGCAGCACTTTGATTCCAACAGTGTGGAACCCAGAAACTGATAGCTGTACGCACTCATATGTCGAGGAAGGTTCTGTACAGAGCCCAAGTTGGTTTAATGAAACAGGGGGAAAGCCATAGCAAAAAAAGACAGATGAACGAGAGAAGAGGATCCTGTCTTCTCTCTCTGCTGTGTAAACACATCTGATGGGATGGACAGAATACTATGTGCTCTGAATTTGACAAGGCAGAGATGCCAGAAGTGATTACTACAAGAGGAGAGTCATTCTCTTCATCCATGGACATCTTGTTTATCCAGTATATTACTCTCACTAGAATGTTCTCTTCAAAGGACTAAGTTACAACAACCAGCTAGAAGGTCAAATTGTGACTTGTACGAACATTTGAAGGGAAAAGATTATGGTCATGTTTTTCTGGAAAAAATAACTCTGTGCTAGTATTTACAATAAGCTATATACATTTTAAAGATGGATGAAACTTCCTTCCACAATCCAGAAACCAGAAACCCAAATATCCTGGATACTGAACTCTGTATTCTTCATCATCTTCATCATCATGATGTTCAAATAAGTAAATAAATGAGCACTTGAAAGTACATCAGCATGATCAGAACTAAAATGAAACGAAAATGACAGAAATCGTTTTTGAGAAAAAAGGGTTTCATGCGTACTTTTCAGTTTGGTCCATGTTTCATCCACTAATATGGAGACGGTGGGGTTAATGACCTATAATGCAGCCAGCCACCAGGTCGCAATCTAGATGCTTTCGGCTTCGCTTTTGGGGGAGCTATCATGTCATCCATCTTTATGGACAGTCCATGGTTTGTCCAGTGTGTAACTCAACCACATCATCAACACTTTAGTTGTTTGAAATGAGCCCAATGAATGGCAGAATAAATAGCCCTTCATTATGGAGAGGTGTGAGACATGGTTGATTGTATAAAGAGAGATAACAGCTCACTAGAAACTGTTTGAACTTGAACTTTTTACCATCTCCATGAGGTCATCCATTAGTGGCAGGGTTGGCACTTCAATCTTCACCTCTTCCTGTTTACATATCAGACAGAACTCGGCATAACAACGTAAGTTCACCACCTTGGTGTGATCACGTCCCTCTAATGTTCAGCCATCCTCAGCAGGCTCACCATAACACTGGCCCTCTTTAAACTTCATAATTTAAGGTGTGCATGAGAGTGTGCAAGTGCAGAGACTGGCCTCACTGTCCAATGACAACCCTCTCCGACGCCACCCCCTCGTGATGTTGGCAAATAAACCAAACTGTACATTACACTGGACTTACATACATAGATTCACTTCATAGTGTTTGTCTTTGTGTTATAGACAAATAAAAGTATGGACCTTGTTCTTTGTTTTTATGCAACATTTATCTTTTCTCCCCCCTGCAGCCAGTCTGGTTCAAACCCCTGGTTTTCTGCGCCCCATCATTTCTCTTCTTTAGTGGCTTCACAGAAGCTGGGGGCCTCCGAGGTCAACCTCTGACAAATGAGCCGACTCATTGTGAGGACGAAGGAGAAAAGGAGAATAAAAGAGTGAAAGGACATTTGTTACTGCCAGACTGAGCAGCGACCCCACCATTTGGACAACCCACATATTTTTTGGTCGACCGGCGTCCACTTGAGGAAGCTCAAAGCAGCGCCTTGTGCATAAAGACAACGGATTGAGAGGCCCACTTAATGCCTGTCCATAGAATATGCACCATTAATAATACACACACATGCACCACACCCCAGCTATCATTTCCCATAATCCCATGGGACCTCAGTCTCCCTCTGAAAGAGTGCGCCTGACACGAGCCTCTGATTCAACCCTTCACGTAGCTGCTAACCCCTGCATGCACACACACACACACACACACACACACACACAAATCCCTCCCAGGAGAAAGTCGGGGCCCCAGGGTGGGCAGGTGCTGTAGCAGCCCCAGAGTGGTGGCTGTGCGTGTGTGCGTGTGATAGTAGGGAGTCCGTTTACCGTCTGTCAGTCCAACCGGCTGTTTGCATGAATAGCCAGTCTGTGTTTTACTTCTCCTGGGGTTTCTGGCTGTATCTTTACAATATGTGTTTGTGTGTGTGTGTGTGTGTGTGTGGCTCATAAGATCAGTCTGACAGATCAATGCATCCAGGATTATGTATCACCCTAATAGCATTACAGGGGTCAGTGTCAGCTGGTGACACAACCACAGCATCCACAGTGTGATCCCACTCCTCTGCGCTCGCCTCTACAGGGGTTTGGTTTGACAAAGGCGTGGCCCAGTTACATGTTATGGTGTGAATGTTACCCAGCAGGCGAAGGATTTAAAGCTGCACTCGGCAAGATTTTGATCTAAAAATACATTTGTCTAATCAGCCTAAATCACAAACTGGGGCTGAAAGGAGAGAAACCTGTGCCATCTCCACCAGCTGAGACCCTGTAGATTTACCTCATTTAGCCAAATGAAATTCTGGTATATTTACCCAGAGAAAGAAACCAATCAAGAAATGATATACCAACTATGAACTGCAGTGACTGAGCTCTTAAAAAACAGATGTATTCACCAGTGGGAGATATTTTGGGATAATCTAAGCAGTACAGAGATGGTCTGATGAGCATGAATGAGGTTTGTGAAGCCAACCAACATCATGGTAAATCACTTCTGGGTACTGAAGGCAACATGTTTCTAACAGTTAACATGTGTGCAAAATTTCCTCGTGCAGATTAAGTCACTTCTGATAATGATTAAGTGAGTTTACAGCATGATTACAAAGTCATAGTCATGATACATGGGGAAATTAACAAAGAAATAGATGAGAATTGCAAAGCATTTTTTTCACAATAGAAAAGAAAAACTTTATCCTGCTGATGGCGCAACATTGCATCTGAGTTCTTACAGTAACCTCCCAATGTTTCATGACCTTTAAACTGCAGTGCTTCATCTGTTGAACACATCTGCGCTACTTTGAGCTGACAACAGAGATAAAGTCAAAGGTCGTCAACAGTTCACACACAGATGGGCACCTGTTTTAACACAACACTGCTCCACAATGAGTGAAACATGCAAACTTAAAAATAAATTCAAGCCACTTTCGGTTGAAGTACATACATACCTTGTCAAACAGAGACTTCCATTGCTGAGACAAGGGAGAGAAAAAACAGCAAGCAGAGGAGTGAGTGAGAGGAAAAGATAGAAAAAACCCCTCAGAAACAGGTGCCAAAGCAGAGAGGAGCACCTGTTTGGAAATGGTGAATCTCAGCAAAATAGATTTTCCTCTCTGTGTGCATTCGCCTTAATTGCAGTCTTGCAATGGCATGCTGTTCTTATCTGATCATGGTGGTCAATGAGCCGCAGCATAAGATAATAAGGGCCTCATAGTGTGGATCATTATGTGTGAGGAGGCAATCGGAAAGGATAGAGGGAGAGTGGCACACGTGCATGTGTGTCATCTCCCTTTGAAAAAGGGAAATCCCTCAGGTATTAATGTAAAACTGTAGTTATGAGTTAAGCCATTAGGATGAACAAGCTCAAATTAATTTAGGCTCATGTTCGTATAACATCCTGCCTCGTAAAATCAAACACACACACATATATACACACACACACACACACACACACACACACACACACACACACACTTTGCTTCAATGTAAAAGAAGGTGAACGTCTTAGCATAACTGTAAATATGTGAAAAGGTAAAAGTGGTTGTGTGTGTGTGTGTGTTTGTGTGTGTGTGTGTGTTGTCTAGGGGTTGGGATGCAGTGGGGGGGTCACAAGGTCATTGAGTAGGGGCTCGCAATATGATTTCCAGAAATCATATCATATTTTAGCCTATTTTAGCATTTTAATTCAAAATAAAAAATTGAGCTAAACAATTTACATGTGCATGTTGGCTTTCTTTTTGTTGGCACATTCTATTTGGGTGTCAGAGGCTGAAAAGTTCGGGAACCACTGATGAAAAAGAATTCAATGTTAAGGTGAAAACATCCATGTATTTTCTGGTTAGGTTAAGGTTATGATGAGACTCAATGTAGGCAAGTAGTATCTTTGGTTGAGGTTAGAATAAGTCTCCATGGCAGGAACTTGTTCCAAAATATTTGTGGTCCAGGTATTACTCATGTTGTTGGGACCTAAATCTGTTTACACAGACACATTATGAGGACTTGTCTTCTTTATGGGGACAAATAGCAACGTAACTTTTATAATACATTTTAAGGTGAAGACATCTTTCAGGTTTAGGTCAAGGTTGGAAAATGTAATGTCCTCTGAAGTCATGCAGCGACGTGTGTGTGTGTGTATATGTGTGTGTTTACACTCACGTCCTCTGGAGCCATTGGAAGGACGTCGGTACTTTCCAAAACCTCGATCTCCTCACCTTCCGCGTTGGCCGCCACCGCCGGGGAGCAGTTCACCGGCGCCTCCCGGGTGCCAGCCGTCATCCTCGGGCTGCTCGTCTCCATACACTCCCGCCGAGAGCAGCAGACACTCGGTCCTCAGGAACGAATCCACATTACTGTAGTTTATAATCCCTTATGTCTGTCTCCCAAATATATGCGTCAGCAACGACAGGAGGTAAACCAGCCAAGCACCATTACGCATCCAAGTTGAATTTTGGCACAGTCAAATGAGTGCAGAGGGAATCACCAACACAGCTTAAATAAATCAAGGAGAGTATTTCCAATGGACTTCCACAGACAGGGCAAAGTTTACAACTAAACATTCACGCTCAGAGTAAAAGTTGCTGTAGTTCTGGAGCATAAATCCTTCACTCCATCCTTACTCAGCAGGGACAGAGGTTTGCAGAGGAGCCTGAACACACACTGCGGTCCAAGTTAGTGGAGCCGGGGGCGCACAGTTGCAGAGAACTCGGGGAGATGCGACGGCGGCGGAGCGCAGATCCATCTGAGAGAAATAATGACATCATCAAACACTGGCACCATCGTGAAACGCAGGACCGGGATGACGCACAAGTCTCACACGGATCCTCCATCAAGGGGGAAAGTCGAGTTTAAACCACACACATGGCAGAGTCCAAAAAACAACTCTCAGCAAGTGGCCACTTTTTCTTGGTGCGTCATGATACCTGGCACGCTTCTGCAGGGGGCGCAGCGCGGGGACAGACGTCTGCTCCTCTCCGCCGAGTGCGGGCACTGAGCCTCCAGAAGCCGGGGAAAGGAGGGAGGGAGGAACACACCGACCGCCTCCTCCTCCTCCGCTGGGGATGTTTGGTTCAGCTCCAGGAGACGCCGCCGAGACTCGGTTTGGCTGCTCCACGTCGCATGCGTCCCGATGGCGGGAGAGAGAGCGGATGGAGGAATGGATGGATGGATGGATGGGGGCGGGAGATGGAGACAGAGGGAGGATTCTTGGCCCCGTGGTGAGGAGGGATCACCAGCCTCTCTCGCTCCGGGGGGTTTTCGAGGAACTCCGGGTCTCTGCACTGACTGAACAGCTGGCTGTCACTCTCTCCCTGGCTGTGAGGGTGGAGGGGGTGGGGGGGTCGTTAGGTCATGTGTGCCTGAGGGTGAAATGCAGCAGTTGTCTCAATAGGAAAAATATACAAATGTTAATAAATAATATGGATCCGCTTAAAACCTTTAGTTAGATCATGATTAGAATTGACAGATGTGGAAAAATCCATTTTGCATTGTGTTGTCCTTTGTTTCTTAATAATGCAGTAAGAAATGCTAATATCCCAAGTCATTAACTTATACTGTTTTTATATAATAACATCTGTTTATCATGTGAAAAGATGTATTAGTAAGTATAATCTATAGCCTTCAGTGTTTTAAGTTTAATTTCATAAGATAAAAGTTTGTGCCAGTGTGGTGTCTGAAATGCTATGTGTAGTCTTCCCCATAAAAGAAATTTATCTTTAGGTTTGAGGTCCACAGGTCTTGAGGAATTTGGAGAAAGCCTGAACAAATGGTAGGGTGATAGGTCACAGCTCTAAGTGCAACACTAAATTTGGGCTAGTGTCGTCTCCCTTCCTGTCACTGTATAACCGTGAAGAGCTGGATAAGAAACCAGATGTGTTTACTTTAGGATTATGAAAACAACACTCCTATATAAACGAGGAGTTGAAGTTGCCTCGTCAGAAGAGATTCATATTGGCTCCGAATCTCTCTCCAGGCAGCAGAGAAGATTCACATTGGCCCCGAATCTCTCTCCAGGCAGCAGAGAAGATTCACATTGGCCCCGAATCTCTCTCCAGGCAGATTGCTTTGCTTGTATCGATGCTGAACTTTTTTGTAATAAACATTTTATACAATCAAGACGGTGTCATCGGAGATTCCTTCATCATCTTCACATCATCGCAACCCCAATATACGACACCAGGATCATATTTTTGGTTGTATTAGTAACTTCAGAGAGTTGTCAGTAGTGATTCAGATGAAAGTCACACATTGAGTTTCCAGAGTCGGTTGAGGGTCTTTTTTAAATATTGTAGAAAAACTCCATTTCATCTGTTGTATAGTTTCTGTCTAAATGGTAAATCAATAGCCCTGTGTAGTTTTCCAGTGGATGTTTGCTATTAAAGCCTGATTAGAACCTGTTTTCAAACCACACAGTAATAGCTCTGTTGGAGATGAGCACCTCCAATCAATCACTATCTTCCAGATTGTGCATATTTTCCAAATACTGATCGATAATCCCCAAGAGAATTGCAAATGTGATCAAGACCTATGTCCTACAGATCATTCAATTCACTTGTAGAGAGAGGACACAGTTAGTATTGGATATAATTAATCTAACACATTTATATTCCCCTTGTTGACAGCATATTTATAGTTATATTAATTGATTTTGATTCCTCTGTGGGCTTCATTCACATTTACTGAAGTAAGCACCGTTAAAGAAAATGCATAAAAACAATATTTATATCATTAGCTTAACTGAAATATCCGGTTTAAAGTCATTTTTAACTCTCTGTTATCTCACTCAGTAAAGTACACACCTTTGCCAAGCACCAGCAGTCTTGAATTAAATCAAGCAGCATCAAAGTTCACACACTCACACATCAATCCTTTAAATGTGCCGGATTTCTTTCATCAAGATCCATTAATTACTCCCTGGGAAAATTGTGAAACTGTTAAAAAAAACACCCCATCTTCCAACATTAAATAAATGAATGGATCTGTCCCCTGTAGCAGATCTGCACCAATATTCAGTGAGTTCTTCTCCTGACCCATACTGCATCCTTCCACCAAGTTTCGTGTTAATCAGCTCAGTTGTTTCTGTGGGATCTTTCTTACAAACAAACATACAAGCCAACCAACAAAAAAAATATACTGCACTGGAGTTCATCAGGGTTATCTCATGTTATAAACACTAACGAATCATGTCCAAAAAATAACTGCTGCCTTTGAAATCTCTGGGAGGAGGGAGCGGCCCATGCAGGCTTGTAAATTCCAGGATATTAAAGGGAATATAAACAGTCCCCTCCAGGTCGTATAGCGCTACAACGACCCGAATGATGGGGCCCCATTTCAGACAAAAACCCACCTATTACCTTAGGAGACATCAAACAAAACCTTACAGCTGGGTGGAAGCCACGTAAGAGGAATGATGTGATGTCACTGTGGTCTGCAGTGTAAAGGTTGATCAGGATCCAGGGAAACTCCCCCCATGGTACAGTAGCTATGTGCTAGCATCACCATGGAAACAATACGGCCAAGTGATATTTCTAACCCTGGGGGTCTTATGACTCCTACACAGCAGTGTTGGGTTAAAGTTGTGTTCTGTTGTGTTGTGAAACAAAAAAAGACCCCGGAGCAAGTCTCCATCAGGGGTCAGAGGTCAGAGGTCAGAAATCCACAGTCGACAGTTTGGATTCTATATTTAGCGATAGGGAAACAAGTTTTATGTTATATATAAGTTGTGTTGATTTAATGTGGCATCACTCACCATACAGAATTGAAAAGCATCACAATAATTCACTTTCAGGAGGGATACTGAACACCTGCTTCTGTTGGAGAAGTCAGCTCGTGTATAAATTATATATATATGCTGTGTATAAATTAACAGCCAGCGACAGGAGTCTCTCTTCGAGCAGTTTGCAGGCACCAACTGTTTTCCTGTGTGACTTAACATCACTGATGAACTCATACACTGGAGACTATGAACTCCACCATACCTCTTCATTGAAACCCTCTGCCATTTTCAAATGTGTTCATTTAAAATGATTCTAAACAGATGGAAAAAACTATAATGTAAATATAAAATAAACTATACGAATCTAATGTTTTTCCTTCAATTGATCTGAGTTTACATCAGTTCAGTCAAGTTTGCACATTTAGCTGCAGATGCTGGATATTTGATCTACATATAATTTACTTTTAGGAAACTGTTCAAACCATTAAGACTTATCCATTACTTTTTAACTGGTTAATTATGCGATCTTAAACAAGGTATTTCAGATATGAACTGCTTTAAGCAAGCTATATCAACTATTAATTTCAAATAATAATTGATATTTTAAGCATTTCAACAATTTACCCAATACTTTAAACTAATTATTTCAACTGTTATACATCACTGTTATTATTATATCCACCATTTACCCACAACCTTTAGAGAACACCTTCAACTTTCTTCTTCTGGTTTGCTTATATTTCAGGTTCCCCACAATCGAATTCAGTGGCAATACTTTCAACACTCCATTCAATTTGGGATTCTGCATATTTGGTTTGTTAGTTTTGTGCCAATAATGGAATAGATGAACATACAGTTCAACACTGAAAGATACTCAAACAACATGGTTTCTAATTGGCCACTAGTGAAGATTTCTTAGCAATGCTGCCCCCTTGTGTCTCAGTAAATCTTGACATGACTACATTAAAGATATTTCACGTGGTAGGACATAAGATACAAAAGTTCTAACAGTAATAAAAACATGTATAAAGTTAATTTTCATTGACTGAAATACAGGACATCATCTGCACCATGTTCATTATATTTAATACACGTCGTCTCTTTAGATGAGTGATGTTCAGAAACACACAAAATAATGGAGTGATAATGGCAAAATCTTGGTAAAAAGAAAAGATTCCATCCAACTAGATGTAACAGACATTTATTGATTGTAAACTGTTGGAAAGGCAGGGCGGAGTAAATACATCAAACTGAACCTTGTGTCAAACCACATTATTGCATCTTCTGTGACCATGAGAGCTGACCAGGAATCACAACAAGACTCAACTGTTCTCCCATCAGTAAACATAAATACAACCCTGGATGTTCGGCAAGCAATGTAGAGTTGGCATGGCCATCTTTTGTAAAGGAAGTCTTAAAATACTTGAATGTGGTTGGAAATTGCATGCAAACAGAAAATGTACAGTAAATGCACCCACAAAAGCTGTTGGAGTGATCGATGCGTGAAGAAGAGAGAGAGAGAGAGAAAGAGAAAGAGAGCTTTCATTCCACACACTCATCCACTAATGACATGCTCAGATGTACGAACACAAGAAATAAAAAAACGTGCATCCGAGAGCGTGGCCATGAAACACAAATCAATGTTCTGTCAAAATAAGTGATAACTGCTAACGTTTGTGCAAGTTCGTGTGGCTGTTGGTGTGAGTCACACGTGGCCCTTTTGGACAAACAAATGTACAATATACTATGTCATATACATTATTTACATCTTGTTCAGTCTAATAAAAGCATTGCTTCTATGACATACCTCACACACCTAATCCCCATTACAAGTGACACCAAGTAGTTCATCATTCCAATCAGCAAGTAACCAAAAAAATAGCTATATTTTATCTCACTATGGCTCATCAGCAGCTTATGGTAATTTTTTAAATATAAATATAAATCATTACTTTGCAAATACATGTACTTGTAGTCAGACAGATTGAGCAAATTATTTTCCCAATAATCTTCAGGAAGAGAAAATGTGGAATGGAAATGGAAAAAAAAATAAAAATGTGTTTGCTAATGTCTTTTTTTTTTCTCCAGCAAAACCAAATTACATTTTTTCTATCAAATCATGAAACAATAACAGGCTTTTGGAAAGAGGACAACTAATGTTGTGCCTGGTCAAAATAACTTGTATGTAGCCATGTACCATGGGTAAAGATGACTGGACCAGAGCGTTCGAGGATCATCGTGATTTGAGCAGCACTCTGTACATAGTTAGGCCCAGCAACGCAAACACCGTGGCCCCGACGCTCGCTCTGAGCCAGAAGGTGGAGCTCTTCAGGTCTGCTTGAGTGACGTGTCTGTTAAAGACAGAGAGGGTTGAGGAGATAAATACAGAGACCA